TCCCCACCGACATGACTCCCAAAGTGGGGTACCTGACAGCATGGGGGGATTAAGATTAGTTGACAGCATGGGGGGATTAAGATTAGTTTCCTAATTGGAAATACACACACACACACACACACACATATATATATATGTATTCCTCCCCCCCCCGAGAAATTTCGAAATTTCTCTAGCATTTTCTGTCTCTCTAGAAGAGGCTGTCATTTATTTTTAAAACCAAAGAGAGGAGGGATGTGAATTAGCTATCCATAGATGATAAGCATTGGGAAAGACATAAGGGACCAAACAAGGCATAACAAGGAAAAGCAAGAGAAGATGGCTCAGATGGTGGCTTTGCCAGGTTCCTGTTTGCAGCTTCAAGTCACTCTTCCCTCTGCCCTTTTCTTTTCCTGATCAGCAAAATGCCAACCAAGGCCAGCTTATCCTGTAGGAGGTCAGAGAGGAGAGTTCAGGAGAAAGAACTTCAACAAACACTCGGAACATCTCTTCATTTACTGTAAAATCCTGTTTAATGTGTAACATTTGCAGAGAGAGAGGTCTTGGGAACTGGGGACTGGGGTCAGCCCTGACCAATCCACTCCAGTTGATCTGCCTCCTTCTCCCTCCAGAACTCCCTCACCCTAGATGTGCCCTCCTTTTCCTTGTGGCAGGCAGCAAGGCAAGCTCCCCTCCCTTCTCCATCCACAATGCAGAGCCCCTCCTCCACTCTGCTTGCCCACATCCCTCCCCACCGACATGACTCCCAAAGTGGGGTACCTGACAGCATGGGGGATTAAGATTCGTTTCCTAATTGGAAATACCTTCACACCATCTCATCTCTCATCTCAGGGAGAGGGAGAGGGAAGAGGAAAGGCTATAGGCAGAAAGAATTGCCCATGCCCTCAATAACCTTGAGCCCTGGTGCAGAAGTGGCTCCCCACTCCCCAGCCGGCCAGGTCTTTGATGGAAGGCTCTCTGAGGAAGGGGAGTAGGGAGGGAGGGAAGGTTTGATGGAGCAATCCCTAGCAGGCAGAGGCCTGCTCACCGGCATAGGAGAAGGAGGGGCAGGCCTGGGCGGGGTGAGGGAGGGGTGGGATGGGATGTTGCCTGGTACATGGCATCAGCAGGCTGAGCATCGGTCGCTCTTTTCAGCCAGCCCGGCCCCAGTGCCGGGGCTGCGGCGCAGAATGTCTTTCAGAGAGCCATCCTGCTCGCTCAGCAGCTTGTTGATCTCATTCTGCTTGTATTCAGGTGAGAGGCGGTGGCCGAAGCCGGAGCCCTTGCGGGAGGGCGGATTGGAGCGGCGCTGAGCACGGCGGGCACAGGCCCGGATGATGAGGTACACCACCTCCGCCACGTTGAGGATAATGCAGATGCCGGAGGCGGCGAGCATAAAGACAGTGAAGACGGTTTTCTCGGTGGGTCGGGACACGAAGCAGTCCACTGTGTTGGGGCAGGGGAAGGCCTCACACTTGACCAGCCGCACCATGGCATAGCCAGGGTAGAGCAGATAGAAGACGTACATGAAGACAGCCTCGAACAGCAACCGGAACACCACACTGATGACATAGGTCCACCACAGTGTCCCTGAGATATGCACCTTGTGCCTCTTTACTTCTTCCAGGTGAAGGGGGTCCCCATGCCCCTCAAGCCGTAGCATTTTCTTTTCTATGTGCTGTTGGTGAGCCACGTGCATTGCCACGAGGAGAGCTGGGGTGGAAACCAAGATAAGCTGCAGGGACCATAGGCGCACGTGGGAAATGGGGAAAAAATGGTCATAACAGACACTGTTGCAGCCCGGCTGGAGGGTGTTACAGATGAAAGAAGACTTCTCATCACCCCATACGCTCTCAGCAGCCACCACCAGCACCATGATTCTGAAGATGAAGATGACAGACAGCCATACTCGGCCAATGGCTGTAGAATGCCGATTCACGCCACTGAGCAAAGTGTATAGACCTGTCCAGTTCATCCTGCCTCATTCACACCTGTGAAACAAGAGGCAGGAAGCAAGCTGTCAGAAGGTTAGGGCAGGAAGCTGGACATAGTAACGCTGCCTCCCCTGTCCCCACCTCTTCTAAGAGCTGGTGACGGGCAAGCGAGGATGGTTATTGCTTTCCCTCTTGGTGCCAGCCTTTCCTCCTTCTCTTGACTTGACCTCTCTGAGCCCCATCCCCTTTCTTCACGTATATCCAGCATTCATTCCTCTTGAGTCCCTTTCTTTACCAGGCCTATCTTGTTCTGCTATTAGGCTGCTCTTCTGGTTCCCCCACCCCCCAACTCCTTTGCACCTGACTTATGGCAGACCCAGATACCCCCGTTTACCTCGGGGAGCGCCTATCCTTGAGGCCACCCAGACAGCTCCCCTATGGTCTCATGTCTGTGTAGGGGGAGTGGTCCCTGTGGTCGCGCCTGCGTCCCAATTCATCGCCTCCCGGTGCTGGAGAGTCATATGCTGCTTTATACCCAGTGTCTGTACAATGGGACCTTTGTGGGGCGCTGAACAACACCCTTTAGAATTCAGATCAAACGCCCTGACTTCCGCCCACCCTACACACAGAGCACTTGTGTCCCAGCGCCGGACACCCAGCCTGCACCCACCTGTTCTGTGCCCGCCCGGTCCATCGCCGCACCCGCCCCATGGCCCCACCAGAATAATGGCTCTGGGGGAGGGAGATAGAAGACAGACAGGTGCACGTAAGCCAGGACCCCAGGGAGCCGGGGTCCTCTGGACTAAGGCCTTCCCCTGTATTTCTACCAGAAACAGAGTCAGCAGCAGTTTTCCTAGGCGTAGGTCCCTTTCCGGGAAGCCGTACCGAGTTTATTAGGCCAGGAACTGTACTAATCATTTCCCCAAGCATTCTTTCTTTTGAGCCATTTAACAATCCTGTTACCCGCTCAAAGTCACCATGGCTAAACATGATGAAGCACGAAAGAGTCTGAAACAGAAAACCTGACTCTTACAGCAGCAGGCTTCTTTCACTTTTGTAGATGGTGTCAGCCAAAGAAACAGCTAGCCATTAAAAAAGAAAAGAAGGCTAATTTGATGTCACCTTGTGTTTTTCAACACAAAAATCAAGGAAGCTGTCTAGTTGTGAGCACGTTCCAAATCCAGCAAACTATGAGTATGGCTCCATAAGCTGCAGGAAAGGGACCCTCTCCAGGGGCTTGGCAGGTGGGCACCTGGTGAGAACTAAGCCAAAAAGAATAAGTGATAAAGCCATCAGGCAAGTAGCAGTTTGGACAATGGATTATGCATGGATCATGTAGCTTGTGTTTATATCTGATTCTTTACCTAAAGTGACCTCGGGCTAGTTACTGACTTTTGATGAGCCTGCTTGCCCATCTGTTAATGGGGCCATACCCAGGGTTGCAGCGGGAGTCAATGAAGATACCTGCTCCAGCAGGTGATCAAAGGGTTAAGAGAGCCATCTCTGGAAGAGGAAACAAGACTGCCTTAGGCGGCCAAATGATCTGCCAAGCCCAGGACCTCTCCTTTTCCTCCCCAATACTGTGTGGTTAACTTTGAGTGTCTGACGTAGGCCAGACAGCTCAGTTGCTGCCCTGGCCCCAAAGTCAAGTACGTTGTAATCTCCTGCTTAAAAGCATGCCAATGACTCCAAGGAGGAAATTCTCCTCTCTCCCTCAGGCAGACAAAGAAAGCCTCTCCCCACCTCCCACCACTTCAGCCATTGAAATTGAAAAGAGGTTTACTAACAGCAGCAGGATGAGAGCAGAGCCCCTTGGCCTGCCTGGACCTACAGAAAGGCAGCAAAATGCAATGCATTTTCTCGGTTACCCACAGCACCTCTACAACAGGGCGGGGGCGGGGCAGGAAGAAGCTTTGTAATCACTTCTGGATGGCTCTCTTGGTTATAGAGGAAAGGGACAGTGAAATAGTCGTGGGAAATAATTGAGGAGAGGAACGCAGCAGGAAATCAGGGCAGATGGCACACACCTGTATTCGGCTGGCTGGGGCTAGTTGGTTAAAGCAGCGGGCTCACTTGAGTGCAGAAGTTTTTAGACCAAGACCAGACATACTGATGTACACTCGTAATCTCAGCATTTGGAAAGTGAGGGGTCAAGAAGTCAGGGGTAACCTCAGCTACATGATTTCAAGGTCAACCTGGGTTACATTTGACCTTATCTCAGAACACACACACACACACACACACACACACACACACACACTTATAAAAACAAAAGAGTTCTAGACCAGTCTGTGTGACTTAGTGAGGGTCAATCACAAAAATATAGCAGACAGAGGAAGAGGGGACAGACTACAGGACATAAGTTACTTCTCTAAATGTTTCTTCATTAGTTTTTTTTTTTAAAGGCCCTGTCAGGCATGGTGACACAACACATTTTTAATTTCACCACTTGGGGAGGCAAGGATAGGAAAATTGCTTTGAGTTCAAGGCCAGCCTGGTCCGTATAGTGAGTTCTGGACCAGCAAGAGCTACACAGTGAGACTTCCCCCCAACCCCACAGCCCATTCTCAAAAGAAGAGAGCAGTTGAAGTGATGCACACCTTTATCCCTAGCACTGACAGCAGAGGCAGGCAAGATCTCCAGAGTTCTAGGCTGGCCTGGTCAACATCATGAGTTCCAGGACAGCCAGGGCTACATGGAGAGACCCTGTTTCAACCTATCCCTTGAAAGAAAGAAAGAAAGAAAGAAAGAAAGAAAGAAAGAAAGAAAGAAAGAAAGAA